CTCTAGTCTTTGTGGGGTGAGACTTGGACAAGTCTCAAGTCTTTGGTCACGAGTCCAAGTCAAGTCTCAAGTCTCTAAAAAATAAAAGTCATATGTCTCTTCTGGTTGTAATGAGCCTTCTGTCATCTGCTGCTATCCGGTCTACTAAGAACACAAAATTAATACCATTCAGATGCTGGTAAATCATGCAAGTGGCTTGTGCTGTATGCTGCACTCACCAACCAAAGAGTGGCTGGTAAAATTTCAACCTTCACTAGTCTAGCCATTTTGCCAGTGGACAAAAAAGTTAAAGGTTTGCACTCTGCAACCGTATTGTTTAATTACACTGGGTCTCTAATGACACATTCCTCTATCCTCTCACTCAAACTCAGTGTAATGGTAACCTGGTAAACCTGTAACATTAACGTTACGTGGTCAACAATTAACCTGTAACCTGCCTGTAAGCCGACAGTTTAACTATGTATTTTTCTACGGTTAACATTAGCCAGTAGATGGTGGCAACGTAGATGATTAACGTTACCCGACCTTTTTTTTTTTTTACGTCATGTCAACGCCACTCAATGCAAACAAGTGCAACAAGCAAACTAACATTCACTCATCTATTCAAATATTCAGTCACAAAGCTAGTAGTAAGCTAAGTGAACGTTATATAGCTGATGCTGAGCTAACCGTCCATATGTGCTAATGTGACTGACCTATCCGGGTGAGTTTTCAGGTGCCTGATAAAATTTGATGTGGTGGATCCAGCATCCTTGATTCGGGTACTGCAGACTTTGCAGCCAGCGCTCTTTTTGTTGGTGCTGTCCTGTTTGAAGTTTTATAATCAAATGTAATTACAAATGGTACAGCAGCAGCTGCAGGTGTGCCACCGGTCGCCATAGTCATCATTCGAGGTACTAGTGCGTGAGGCTACGAGGCGCGCACCCAATGCATAATATGGTTACAATGGTTACCATGGTTACCATGAAAAAAAAGGAAGGAATCACATTAAGCTCATCACACGTTTCAGAGTTTCCTCAATATTAATACGCCAAAAAATAAAACATAATGATTGTTCACGAGTCCCAAAACACGAGTGCGACTCGAGTCCGAGTCTCAAACTCGAGTCCCCATCTCTGCTTTAGAATATACATACTGCATATTGTAACAGTGGTGTTATGTCTTGCAAACAGTCAGCAATTTAGCTCGAAGACAGTCACATTTACATTATTGACATCTAAACCTTTAAACTGTCACATAAACAAGAGATAGACAAGGCGGCAAAATGCATTTTTGCTTTGCAGCCAAGCCATCTGCAAGACTTAAGCTGCTAAAGCTGTGTGATTTCACTTCTGCAGCTCTAATGTATGACTATTATTAACCTCTCCACTTATGAGCGAGTGAGTCACCCTGTCCAGTGACAGAGCTGCCACAAGCCCTCACTCAGCTGTCTGGCTTCATGAAGGAGAGATCCAAGCCAGTGACGCCAATCCTGTCTCCCCCTTGAGCCAAGATCCTTCCTCTCCACGTAGAGAAGGTCTTGTCCGCGTGACCTGCCACTCACTTCCTCCTAACTCGGAGGGGAAAAGCGGAAAAATGTCTCACCAAAAATCTCTTCAGGCAGTACATCCTGAATTTGTCAGCACAGGACATTTTCATTTTAACGTTGTCTAATGTAGCAGAACATGAACTGTTGGTCAGAAGCCAGCAGGTTGAATTAAGGTCAGCGGAAGTGCAAGTGTTTATTTGAACTGCTGAATTGTACCCTTGGGTTTTACACTGATGCTGACTGGAAGAAATGTTCAAGCAATGTGTTCATTCATTTGCACTCACGCATTTCCTGTCCTGCCTTAAGTAGACAAAATGTGTATGACAGTAAAGTTTTGAAGTACTATAAAGGAGCCAAAGCCTAATACCATGTGTAACATTGTATGTTTATCTGCGTGCTGTGTGTCAGCCTTCTTTGAGGATAAATGATTGAGATAGTCTCTCTATACATGGACTGTTGCATGACGGGTTGCATCTACCAAGCAGGTTGTTTGGTAAGAATGGGAAGAATTGTGAGCAACGTCATATCATCAGTGAAACATTATCTACCCCCCGCTCCCTCCTTTCTTTCCTCTCTTCCCCCACTGTCCTGGAATCCACAGCTCTATCCCTCACTCTCTTGGTTAAAAACAGGCCTTAGGTCTCAAAGCACCATGGAGAGCAGTATGTGGCACATGTACCCAACCCCAAAATAACTTGTTTTTTTCACTCACTTAAATTTGAGGGGTATATTGCAGCTGCTGCCCTTTACCAACATGCACACCATGGGTCATAAAAAGAATGAGTATCCTGGGAATTTGTATAATTCTCACCAGTAAATATAAAAATAAAGCTAAAGAATCCATGGGAGCAGGGTCTGCAGTCAAAACAGAACTGAGAATAGCTCTGATATCGACTTGATGTCAGCGCTTTCATAATGACTGTGGCGTGTTTGTCATGTTTGTCTTGTGAAGCATCTTTGCCTTCACTTGGATTGACCTGGTGCCCTTTACTCCCACATATTTCTTTAGAATTATGTATTAAACATGTTGTTCCTCTGCTCAACTCTCCAGCTGGCATCTCAGTGCCTGACACAAAGTGTTTCCCCTGTTTTCCAAAGACAACGTTGGGGAGGACTCTTTCTTCTCTTTTCACTCTCCACCACTCGTCACGTTCTCCTGCTGCCTGCTTTTCCATCCTCTGTCCTCCTGCCTCACTCTCCCACACATCATCTCCTCTCACTCTCGCTGAATGAGCTCATTCCTCCTATGCCTCTGCATCTATCTTCTCGCGTATGATCGAATTTCTCAGTGAAAGTTACCCGCAGGGTGTGGATGTGACAGCGCTCATTCTTGCTGGTGTCAACATGAGCTGGCTATTTGCGTTGCTATGTGACAGTGGGGAATTGGAATATTTCTGAATGTCCAGTGCAAGTGAAATAACCCTCATTTGAGTCTGTTTCGTGATGCATTCTAATGGACATAATTGGATTGCAACCACGCTAGAAAACACATAACTCTGGTATACTTAAACCCTTAGGCCTTCGTGTAATCACAGGGGAAACTGACCTTAGATCATCTTCTACAGGGCAACACAGCCTATTAGGAAGTTGGTAACATCCTAACATGACTCCTGGGATTCAGAGATGCTCACCCATCCTCATTGACCTTCCAGGACATCTTGCCTCAGTGGTACACACACACACACAGTCATAAGCTCTTGCTGGAAGGCACTGCTGGGGCAGCCTGCCGTTGCTCCTCGGCATGTAGGCGTGTCTGGAGAGCTGATGAGCCTCAATGGATTTTCTCGAGTGCTGCTTTCCACTGCGAATGAGTCACACAGTGTATGGGGAATGGGGGCAAAAGGAATCTTTGGGGATTATTATTCTGATTCATGCACAGCTGTGGTTTAGGCTTAACAGAATCCCTATTTGGGTTTAGAGTGATGGGCAAATGCAGAGATGTAGTGTCATAAAACACTGTACAATGTATTATGGAACATGTGCATGTATCACTGCGGTTATCCAGGAGGTACTATAGCAACATTTCCATAGTTCAGTAGCATGCTGATATTTTTCTCAACTGAGTCGGTGAGACAAAAGCAAATTATATAGCTATTGTATAGTGGTGAATGTTCCAGCATTATAACAAAGAATAAAGTGGGTGGCTCACAGAGATTATATCACAGAACCCAGAAACATACATACACATAAGCTTGAGGACTGGGATATAAAAGCTTGTGGGTGCAGCCACATTCTGCAACTGTGAACCACCGTTTCTGAGATGAGAGGCCTCTGTGTGAAAAATGCATTTCCATGTTTGCGGGGGCTTATTCGGACAGGCGGCGAGAAACGAAGAGTTAGAATAGTGCGTGTTTGTGTATGCGTGTGTGCACTGCTACTGCCTGCAAGCAGGGGAATAAAGGTTAAATTGAACACTTCTGTCAGTGTCTTGCGTCCAGCTGCAAGCATTCCTCTCACCGCCCTGGATTCCTACATGGGATTGCACAATTCCTGCTGTCACATCCCTTGGTAATCTAGGAAGAACAATGAATAATGAACCTCTTCCATCCTTCGCTTTGTAATGTATTACAGGGGGACAGCTCCGCAAGACAGGAATTTGTTCCAAGAGGCGTCTCGGAAGCACACAGCCCTGTGTCAGCTTTTAATAAGATCTGTTGGGGTTTTTCCACACTTGGCACAAAAAATCTGGAATATGATCCCATATCATAGCAGAGCTAATACCTTGGTTTTACTATTCAAACACCTAAGTGCATAAGGGTTTTTTTCTCCAAGACAGAGCTTTAACCACTGATTAATGTCATTGCACTACCTAACACCCATGCCCTTTCTGAGCCCCTTTTTTTCTTGTCGTCATGTGTTTCACGCCCCTATATTGCATTTTTGTATTTTGCCTTTAATTTATTCATTATATCCTATCATAATGCATGTTTTTGCCGTGTTCATTGTCATTTTTGCTTTCATACCCTCGCAGAAGAGGAAACAGAGCAACAGTCCATATGTGAGTCACATCAGTAGCACAATTATTTGCTGCATTTTACTGTTTAAATAAATAAAGTCTAACATAATAGCAGCATACAGCGTTTATCTGTGCGCTATCGTGAGAGAGGGATCCCCCTCGCTTTCCCTTGAATGACATTTCAGGAGGAAACACATTTGTAACACAGCACGTACAGTAGCTATACACTCTCACTCGCATCACCGCCCACCGCCCCCCTCTACCCCTCCCCATCCAATTTACCAGCGTGCGATGCATTTAGATTCCTGGGGGTGTAGCCTCACTACATGGTTCTCACATGACTGCACTGCATATTATAACTCAGGATGGAAGCCAATGGGGTTTCGATGTGGGAGTGACGTCAGGGGGCGGGGCGGGATGTTCACGTATGTGTGTGTGTGTGTGTGTGTGTGTGTGTGTGTGTGTGTGTGTGTGTGTGTGTGTGTGTGTGTGTGTGTGTGTGTGTGTGTGCGCGTGCGTGTGCGTGTGCTGCGTAGAAGCCCCCCTCCGTCAGGCAGGCAGCACTCTCGCTCTGTACAGGCGCAGTGAGTGCAGTGTGTGCAGCTCGGCTGGCCTCCCTCCGCACTGAATGGACTAGATTCCCAGCCACGTAAGAAGCACAGCAGCACCACGGGAGAGAGGATGTCCTGCTGAATCAAGGGATAGGCCTGGGAAAGTCGGCCGGCCGTCCCTTCCTTCCTTCCTTCCAGCAGCTTAACAGCAGCAGACACACAGGACAGACGACACTTTTCTTCCACTGGACTAGACCAAGAGAAAGAGAGAGGACGTCGACTCCCGCACACAAAGAGCTACAGCAGTGTTTTTTCTCTCCTTCCGGATGGGGTTTTCTCCTGATGTGGTAGATGACAATCACCGTGCATGGATATGATCCTGGGGAACAAGGCCGTGCACTGACCTGGTACTAGTTAGCCAAGGAAGCTAACTAGTTAGCTCTGCACCTGCTAGCCATCGTTTGTCTGTCAAATTCCGGCTAAAATTCAGCAGCTATAATTAGCTTGCAAAAGTTGCTTTATATATTTTGCTTGTGTATTTTTTTTTCTCCTGTGCCTGCAAGCTGTTTCCAATTAATTGTTTCCGTTTTATGAAACGTGTCATACCATTAACCGGCGAGATAAGCTAGCAAACAAGCTGCGGGTTAACTTAGCACTCCTCATTCATTGTAGAGCTGACTTTTGGCAGCCTTTGTTACAGTTTCGTCGTGCCTGCTCGCACCGCTAACGTTAATGAAACTGCAGCAGGTCCGTGCAGCGGGGGTTTCATTCGGCTTGAGGCAGTAATTCTGTCATTTTAGCCTGGCCTTACCTCTTGAATGGAAAACAAAGGGGGGAAATGAACAGTTGAACTCCGCAAAAAAAAAAAAAAATTACAGACCCCTTTTTGTTGTATGAGAACCAACGAGCGAGCTTTTTCCTGTTGACAGTCTGCCACAGTCTCCTGCAGCAAGGTGCATTTAAATCAATTCTTCATCCGTTTTATACTTCTATTCAAGATTTACTAAAGTACCATTTGTGACATTGCACTGAGTTTACAACGAAGTGGTGCCATAATCGAGGAGGAGGACAGGATCAAGGAGGAGGAGAAGGCCCCCGATTTTGTGGAGTTATCGCACTTATTCCTCATGAACATACAGAGGTCAAATCCAATTAACATTTCACGTTATGGGAGATCGCGGCACAAATCGCACGATTTCGAAGAATTGTCTTGCTTAAGGACTACAGAGTCGCACCAGAGTTTCAGTCCCAACCTCGGGTCCCCCAGCCCGCCGGAGACCCCGGACTCCTCGCACTGTATCTCCCGCATCGGGGACTACCTTTTGTTGGAACCACTGGAGGGAGACCACGTTTTCAGAGCCGCCCACCTGCACAGCGGGGAAGAGCTCGTATGTAAGGTTAGTAGGCAACATGGTAGACGTATCCTACCTTTTTATGCTCCCAGAATAGCTTCTCTGCCTTCTTTTAAAATGGGGTTTACTTCATACAGGAGCATGCAATTTGAGAATTACACTATAAGGACAAAGTGTTCTTACAAGTTCCTCACTTTTGCATTCATTATCACATGAATAATTTTGGCTTTATTTCGACACATTAAGACCTAAATGTAATGCACATACTGAACAGGGAACTACTGAGTTGGTTTCAGTGGTCTGGCTTTTGCAGCAAACCCTCACCCCTCAACTTTTTAATAATTGCTTGAATTGTAAATAGAGAGCTGGCACAGCAGCCTAATGGAAAAAGTGAATGGGGCGAGCTGCGTGGTTTGGATTGCATGATGTAACGTTGACAAAGGAGTGAGTAACCACGCACACACACTCCTCTCCGTGCTATTCTCGCTTACCCATGGCTTCTCTCTTTCACAGTGGGATGCTATAATCGTCTTTTTTCACCTTTGCTTTTATATTTGGTGCATAAGCATGGTCATGTTGCACCTTTTGCACCAATTATTAGTGGGATTGCACATTTTTTGAGAAGGGTTGTACACACAGGGCTAGGGAACTTTGCAAGTTCAGCAGGCTGCTATGACATTGGCTCCAGCATTGACCTCTCTAACCATAAGAAATAAACTGCTTTTCCCCTCAAGGTTGAAGACACACTCGTGGCCTTTCCTCACCACATTTATAGCCCCTATTGACTTTCGTATATTACCGATTATAAGGGGCAGTGGGGTTGTCCCTGAGGTACATTCCAGCTTTAAGCAGGCTTAAGTGGCTTGATGAATTGAGACGATAGTTACATGCACCGTTGGACTCATGAGGCATGACATATCCAATAACCCGTACCTTTTGACTCAAGATAATGTTTTGTCATGGCAATAACAAATTAACAGCCTTTGGCACAGCCTGTGAGCTAACTGCCTTTTGACCTCATCTGCTTTGTGCTGGTTTCAATACAGCAGCAATCAATCCCCACTTCCCTGATTGATGCCAAGCTGGAAGCCTAGGTCAAAACTTAAGATCTTGAGAGCTGTGGGGTGTTCTTCTATTGACTGTGAACAGAGGAGCCCTCTCACCTGAACTGGTTGTGCTGAAAGTCAATGGCGGGGGGTTACTATGGAAACAAAAGAGACACTGCAACCCCGGGCTGCAGTACAATACCGCTCACTAACATGATGCTTTCACTTTGCCTCTGTGAAACCTTACTCCCTCTGCCAACAGAGTAAACACAAGTTAGGTGTCACAAGAATGTGGTTGATTGCTCATATTTTGCTTAATTATAAGAAGATTTAAAACTCTTTCAGACACAACAAAACAACCACCTAATGAGACGGCTGCTCTCAGAATTCACCCTAGATTAACAGAAAAATAGCCGTAGACTGTAAATATAAATGCTTTCCTCTCTTATTATTGCAGGTCTTTGACATTGGCCGATACCAGGAGTCACTGGCGGCCTACTTTGCCCTGGGCCAGCACCAGCATATTAACCAAATCCTGGAGATCTTGCTTGGGGAGACTCGAGCCTATGTGTTCTTTGAGAGAAGCTATGGGGACATGCACTCTTTTGTCCGCACCTGCAAGAAGTTGCGGGAGGACGAGGCTGCCAGACTCTTCTATCAGATAGCCTCGGCAGTGGCACATTGCCACGACAACGGACTGGTCCTCCGTGACCTCAAACTGAGGAAGTTTGTCTTCAAAAATGAGGACAGGTGAGTTCTGCGTAAACCGTAGTCTCTGTTGATCACTGACAATCACTGTGAACTACTTCTCTGTTTCATCTGTACACGTTGTATGTGATATAACAACCAAGTCAGTATCATCTGTGTCATATCTCAGCTTACAGCGAGGATAGTGTAAACTGACACGATGCAAGACATGAAATTCCTCTCCCAGATGTTTTGCAGAGTACAGGAAACATGAGCCCTTTGTGTCTCCCCTAGCTATTTTTGGTAGTGGATATGGCACATACAGTATATACAGTATGGCATATGGAATCACACTTGGGGAGGATCATTGCAGTGCAGTTATTCCAACAGTGACTGAACTGAAAAGCAGGAACAGAGAAGTTACTAGGACAGGTGATCAGATAAGACCAGCTCTTTTACCACTAGTGCCCTTCAGCAGGAGAAATCCATAGAATCACACTGAAACGGCACAGGTTTACTGACCCCTGGTGGCAGCATTTCAAAACTACATGCATAAAATTCAGGCATCTGTTGCCACAGCAACCTGAGAGTACTTTTTTTAATGAATGAACATTATTTTAATTTTATTTTAATAGATGTCAGACTTAAAAAAATGTATTATAGTTTTTACTTATGTCAATGCTAATGCTAAAGTTTCTTAGAGTAACTTCTTTACAGGCAGTTCTTATCTGACAGCCATGGCACAGACTGCTCCTCAATGCCCTCTATCTGAAAGTGTGACGTCGTTCTTTGGCGCTAACTGTGGAAAAGGGAAGTTGAGCTGCCTCACATACTCAGTGCGGGTCCAGTGACCTTGAATGTTACACCAGACTGCTCATGAGCTGGGAGGCCGAGCCCCCCCCCTCTCCCATTAAATGATTGATGTCAGGTGAATTTTAAGAGTGATGGTGCGGGACAGTATTGGGTCACATTTACTATATGGCCTGTCAAGAATCCTCTTTCACCTTTTCAGTCCTCTTGGCTCTGTGGACACGAGAGTACAGAGACGACAAAAGCTGCTTTAGAGACACAGATCTGCTCTGGCTTGAACCCAAGTGTGTGACAAAAGGCTATGGAGAGTGCCAGAGAAGCAAAAGAACAAGACTAAATATAAAATGATACCTAAGCAGGCTTCCTCAGCATGTGTGAGCTTCCTGACCCGATTTTGTCATACTGCTGTTAGCCTTTGACCAAACAGCAGCCTATTTAAAGAGCACTGGTCAAAAGTTGGTCTCTAGTTCATCAGCACAACTACTTAAACAGGCCCCGTTGATCTCTTCCTCCTACACCAAACTCATGAGACATTAGAGGATCAGCACAGATTGAATCCCATATAGCTTAAATAAAGAAAATGGGCTAAGCCTTTTTTTTGTATTTCTAAGCCCTATTAACTGTAATTGCAGGTTTGCACATGTCCTCCAAATGAGCTGTTATCCAGGCACTGATATTCTGTACTTAAAAAAGCTTTTATCACAGAGGAACAATGGGCATTTGGCTCAAGGAAACAATAGAATTTTCCTAATTTGAAAATGTGGAAGCGCTCTATAGCATATAAAAGAAAGCAAATTACTATCACTGACAATGAACTAGTGAGTGGGCTGATGTGGAAGTGTAGGCACGTGTAAGAGATTGGCCAAAAATACATTCATTCGTCTAAGCCCGTACTTCTTGGTTTCCTTTTTCCTAGTGGCTCCCATTAGATACGATCACACACCCTGGCTCTTTGTCTGGTGCATCATGTCTCATGGACCTCACACGCAGATGGCAGCATTTGCACAACCCCATAAGTGTCTCTTACCATGCACGTGGAAGATTTTCTTGCCCGAGCCTCTCAAGATTCTTTAGTGACAACGCTTCTGAACAACCAGCCATTATATCGGCACTTAAGGGTATCATAGCTGCTATTGTGGGGTTTAGAGAGCGAAACAGTTCAATGCATGAAATCTAAGATGATCAGGGACCCGTAATTGTGTTTCTTTTGAATTGTTGAGGTCTTCTGGAAAGCCTATTTTACATCGATGCTTTTTGGCAAGGCTTTTATTTAAGTGAAAGGAAATGTCAAACTCAAGCCTGGAGCATTATGTGCCTTACTTCCTCTGGTATCCAAAAGCGATGGATCTAAAACACGTAATGTCCATCAGGGCAAATTAGCCCAGTTGAGTGTCTTTTGTATTTCATTTTTTGTCAGTTGGCATCCAGAAATTGGAACTCTGAAAGTAATTAGCACTTAATAACATTCACATTATCAAATAATTCTATGTGTCCATTGTTTGGTAAAGCAGTATCATCATGTTTAATGTGTTTTTGTTTCTCTTGTGTCTCCAGAAGCCTCGTGAAGCTGGAGAGCCTTGAGGACACTTATATCCTGGATGGTCATGACGACTCCCTGTCAGACAAACATGGCTGCCCAGCCTATGTCAGTCCTGAGATCCTCAATGCCAACGGCAGCTATTCGGGGAAGGCAGCTGATGTCTGGAGTCTGGGCGTCATGCTTTATACCATCCTCGTGGGGCGCTATCCTTTCCATGACGTTGAGCCCGGCTCTCTGTTTAGCAAAATACGCAGGGGCCACTTCAACATCCCCGAGACGCTCACACCCAAGGCCAAGTGCTTGATCCGCTCCATCCTCCGTCGGGAACCCGCAGAGCGCCTCACCTCTCGGGAGATTCTGGAGCACCCCTGGTTTGCCTCCTCTGGGGCACTAGGGGGCGCTGTGGTGCACGGCAGAGGAGAAAGAGAGCAGGAGCAGATGGTGCCTGAGGTGAACATGGAAGAGGAGCTGGAGCAGTTCTTCAGCTGAGCAAACACCAAGCACAAACGGACGACTCCGCCACGGTCGGCTCGCCACGCTCACAGCAGAGCCAAAAACAGTAGTTTAGAGATTAATAGGTGAACATTTGTCACTCATAATAAAGGTATTTCCATCCTGTTTCCTTTTCCATCATTTCATGGAAAACCTTGAGCCTGGCATGACAAATGGCATCTATACGTCACCTGGCGTTGCACCTCCCCGTTCGGGGATGTTGCCGCCAGACATGCAAGTTGCAAACAATGTAGCAAATGTTCTTTTTGGATCTGTTTGGTTTAATGTGGTGCTCATAAAAGTAGACACATTCACCATTTTCGACACTATGGAAAGCATGAAGGGACATAAGAACACAGGAAACCAAGGAGAACAATTCAAAATGAACTGACAAACTGCAACACCACACCTTTTCTTACAGTTTTTTTTTTTTTTTTTTTTTGTCATAGCTTTAGGTGGTACCAATTTAAACCACAGACCCAGGATCGGAAATCACAACCCCAAGTTCTGTTTTTAAACAAATACACGGTGATTCTCCCTGACCTGGGACCATTGGTTAATAAATGGAGCAGCTTTGGCTTTTTCCTCATCATCATTATCATCAACAACATGGTTGACCTCGTCTTTGTTTCATTAAGTTTTGTTTTTCGTCCTTTCATTTCTCTCAGTTTTACATTATTGATCATTCTGACAGTCACTAAACTCCTTGACGGCCTTGTTTTCAGTGATTTGTATGTTTCTGCCTCCTCAGTCTCTTAAGCCTTTACCACATTTTATTCACCACAGTCATTTATTATTTTTTGTTTGTTTTTAAGCTATTCCACTCTGTTGTTACTGCTGCTTTAACATCACTCCCAAAACCTCAATCTTAAACAGTTTTTTCCTGGTAAGCCTCCAGACATGGCGTCATGCATTTGATGTGTTAGGTGAATGGACAATTCCACCTCTTTAAAATTAGCTTCCTCCTTATTTAAATTGATTCTTCAGTTGTAGGAACGAGAACGTAACATTTATTTAAATTGTAACAGCTATATATATAAATATATAAATATATATAAATAAATATATATATTTAAAACTACATTGCAGGGTTTTTCTTTATTCAGAGATTCCTTTTTCATGTATGATGTAGGCAATATCTTGACACAGGACAGGCACGAAGAGGAAAATGTCTGTCTGAAGTTTTAGAATACACAACATCTTCTGTGCCAGTATTCTGGTGCCCCGACAGCCCATGCCACCTGGTCTCCCTCTTTTCTTTTTAAAAACTTGATACGAGATATTCAGTGATAGTATTGCTATGACATGCTCACTCCAGGACCTCATGTTAGTTTTTCTACTGCCTGCGTAGGTTCTGTGAAACGATCATGCTCGGAATGGGTACCAGTGGACATGTTTTGTCGTATCTCAATGTTACTTGAATTTGTGTTTTTATCTAGTCATTGGCATGTGCCCCATGAATGCTATAGCCTGCCTAGCAGGGGGGAGGGGTGGGAGGGAGGAGGGTGCTTGTTTTTTAAGAAAAGTTAAAAACATGAAAATTCTCAATTTGCTACTTTTCTGAGTTGCTTTTCAAATAAAAAAACAACTATTGCTTTCATTGTTTTTGTAGACTGAGCTACCTTTTATTTAAGTTGGTGCTGATTTGGTGCTAATGTTTAGTCCTTTTGTTTCATGGAGGGGGGTGGTGCATGGTGGGATATCTGCCTCAGATGTTCTGATTGTATCGTAACAGATTCTGGTGTTTTGTCCAAATTTATTCAGTAAATAAATTGTGAACTGCTATTTGACTTTGTTGTTCTTTTCCATACACTTGATCAACACATGCAGCATCACACAATGCCATACTGTATCCTGTTACCTAAACAAAGGCGTGATGTGTTTGTTTAGTCCATACTGCGTAATAAGAACACATTTCATAAAAATTCTGTTTTAATGCCCATATATTACAAATATTAATTGAATTATGCAATGCAAATCCCCAGTCGAACATGGTCACCGACATCTCAGTGGGATAATGTAAAACATTTTTGTAGCAAAGGACAAATTTTCTTTGATATTTGACTAGAAGGTGATAGGCAGCTATTCATCCCGAAGCCCACATCTAAGTGATTTCTGCTCCGTGATGTGGAGATTTTGCAGTCCCATTTCATACATCCATACAGAAAAAATTATTATTTTTCACTTTTAGAACACTCTCAGCCCGTATGCCCTAACAAAAGCACTTCCCAGTTCATAATGAGATTGCAATCACAGACAGAACTTGAATGGATTCCAAATGAGCGAGGAGAAAAAGGCTTTTGCTCCATGTGAACCTCTCTGTCTGCCCCACTTCATCTAAATGATTGCACACATGAGGCTCTTGGAAAATGCTCTTTAGTTGAATCATTTTCCTGGTCACACTCTTGTGAGAGACCCTTAACGACAGTCTTTGCTTTTTCTGTTCAATATGACAGCATTGTAGTTCTGCAAAGCTAGCTGCCCTGCTCTGCTGACCTCATCCTGTCTTTGAGTCAGTCTGTGGAAGAAAATCACTTCAGATTCTATTTTGTTCATGAATGTGGATCAACATGTGTGCACATGTGTGTGCCCAGAGTTGTTCGCCCTGTTCATGCAGAGTAATCCTGATTAGGTTGTATCTTTCAGACAGGGTAGGCAGCTGTTGCAATAGCCCAAATGGTTGCTTTCTCCCTGTTTGAAAAAGAGGATGAATGAACATCCTTTGGCACACATTGGCAATTTCAAGTTATGGGTCGATGCTCAACAACACCTGCCATTGTTTTGAATTCCCCTGAGCTGACAAAAAATGAGACATTATTGAAGACTGAAAATGATTTTGCAAATAAGGTACTGTGAGCTTTCAAGGCCATATGGTTCCCAGTTTCTTTGTTTTCAAATGTGAAATAGATGGATCACTGTGGCACTGTTTCCAGATTATAAGCAGAGCACGTCTGAAAATGGCAGCTTTCTATCATGCAAATAAAGGATGCAAGAAAAAGAGTGGTGCTCGCACAGCTCAGTGGACAGGCAATTGCCTTTATAAACTTGAGCTGGTGAATGCTAGCCTGACCTCTAGTGGCTGTAGGCAGTATTAGCCAGTGATAAGAACAGCTTTGGGTTTGCCAGGTGTTTGTGTTTATCCTTTGTTTTGTATTTTTAATTCAATTAACCATTTGACCTCTGACCTTCTGGAAAAGGGTTAGGGGGCATCTAGACCAGAATTGATTTATTAACAGTAACACAGTAGCATTTACAACTAGGGACTTGATGATTACGAAGAAACATTTATTAAGGACTTGTGAACATTTAATACCACAGCGTGTGGCTGCCAATGTTTTCACCTTGTGTGTCTGTGTGTGTCATCATGAAAAAATATGAAGATAGCTACTGTAGTGGGAACTACCACAGAGACAATTTTCAGTACTTTGGCATGTGTTTATATGTCTGCCTGTCTGACTGTGCAACATTCTGTCATGAAACTGAATACTGGTGTGGAGGCAGAGTTCAAAGATGGGTGTGGTCTGACCCATGAGTACTGAAGACTCGTGTCATAATGTAATAATGACTACTGGGTGCGGGCTGGAAGGTCAACATGTTGACGGGTAACACAGCTGGTGTGATCCCATTGCAAGATGTTCTCTAGTGATTACTTACCAACTTTTGCTGATGGCTTTTTAGAAAGTGACTTAATAAGAGTTGCTTTAATTAAAGGGTTAAAGGTCAAAGCAGCAGAGGTTGAGATACCCTGAATTATAGTGCTTAATATGGCTCAAGCTCCAAAAATGTTGGATACTACATTTCCCAAAATGCAACTGGACAGCCTCTTTCCTTATACCCTCATCTGCCAATGAAATATCTTCTTCTTGGTAAATAAAAAATAAAATGTGCAAGACGTGTTTAAATGTTATAGCTGATCGAGGTGGAGCTGATTGTAACTACCTACTATACTGTGGGGTAGTTAAAACTATATTAGACATGATATTTTATGAGCTTATCAAATGTTTTGCATGAAAATTCTTAATCAATCAGATGACGAGTGATTTCTACCGTATAAAAAAACTGGTGACAGTTATTAATTAATGTGTTGCAAATGTGTGTTTAAGCTATGTATGTTTAATGCCTGGGCCAGACTTACACTTGAATTAGTTCCAGCAGTTTTGATCTCTATACCGTGCAGTTAGGACTTTGATTAATTAAAGAGCTTCTGCTGACTACACAATGTGGCAGCAGCAGCTTCACAGTGTAAGCAACACTTCCTAGGCAACTGTATTACTATTTCTGGTTTTGACAGAATCTGACTGGGTATATAAATAAATAAAAAAATTCTAGTTATAAAAGTCATTACTGCTTGCAAAGATAGAGATTTAAAGGCTGGTGCAAGCCAAGACCAGAACTGTAGAGAGCCATATTTCCTCCCCTGCTTGCTTGTATTGCCCGTTGACAGGAATGATTCATCTCATGTTTACACTATCCATTCAGTGCTGTGCATTTCCACAATCTGTCAAGCTGACGGTGAAAGATGTTGACACTCACAAACTTTTTCAAGACTTAGAAAACACACTATAAACATCAGACTCTGTTTGAGCTAAATTATTGATGTGTGTTTGCAATTTATTGTAACACCAGGACAGTGACATGCAGTTAAAGGGGAAAACCATTCAGATCACAAGTTTATTTTTCCTCTTTGGTGTGTGTTTATCTAATGTCCTCGGCTTTCTGGCCAAAAGACAAACCAAAATACAGCCTAGTGCTCCATTTACAGTAACTGGGAGATTAACTTTGGGGACAAACATCATTTTTTGTCTTTACTTTAAAATCCAAATAAGTTAGCACTGCTGGTTCCAAGACACATGCAGTGACCTGCTGCCCTGGAAAATCCTGCTGTCACAGTAATCTTTTTGCAATCCAATCTCTATGGAGATTAACATGAGTATGAGATAACGGATTTAGGGAGGAAGTACTGTGGCCTATGTTCTCTGATAAATGGGAAATATCAATAATACTCTACTATCTCCCTACTGTGGGAGACAGATAGATCAAATTGTCTCAAAGTGGACTAATGGAAAGGAACGATGACATTTAGGATATTTCCTGTTATTTTCCCAATATTTGAGGACAGATAAGTGTTGAATAGGCAGACAGTTTAGAGAGTCAGCTTTTTCCCCTAGGATGATGTAACAATTTTAATGTTTGCTCTTGAATAGTTAAAATCTTATATCAAGATGTTTATCCAGCCTTGAGGCTAAATTAAAAGGTGGACAAACAAGTTTATTCTGAGAGCTGTTTAAAAGGTAGCAATCCCTATGTCCCCTTATGCCCCCCTATTACTGTATGTATGTGTGTTTCCTTGGCTACACCACTCATATGGGAAATTCAGTAGTGTCAGTAGTTTACCCAGAAAAAGAGCATTTTCACTTTGTCATGTTTCTGTGCTTATGTAATGGTCTTAGTGTTCTGTCAGAGCACAGAACCAGAGAATGATGGCTGACTGTATAGCACTTACTCCTCAGTTACTCCTCAGCAGGAATATAAGTATTCTGCTATTCAATTAACTCAGCCTGAGATCAGTTTCGATTTTATGTAACTCAGGGGAACAACACTGCTGTCTCGGAGCGCTGGAAGTTTTTCTGTGTTCCACCAAGCTGCTCCAATTAAGGTTAATGGCATGGTTGTGTAACGATCCTGCTACTACTAAGCCCTTTTCAAACACCGCCGCTATTGTGTCTGGGCTTTGGCAGAATACAGGTGTCCCCCAACGGAGCCAGTAGGCTATAAAGGTGCTTTAGTGAGCTGGTCCCCAGACGCAGCGCAGTGCACATGGGTACCCTTGGGTGTTCTGGCAGCAGAGTTTTGTGGCAGGGCACCAAAGAAAACACACAGACAACAGATGGCCTCTGTTGTCTTTCACTCAGCCATGAGGCTTCTGCCGGCTCTGGGTTACAAAACCCACTGAGCAACAGAGACTGAGAGAAGCCTGAGACTCAGTCAGGTGGCTATGTGAGTCATATGTGAAGTAGCCTCCTGCTGCAAATCATCAACAAACAACATATAGCTGTACTTTTAAATCAACATTTTATTTCAGTTTCTATTTATGCTTTATGCAATATGCTGTAGTTTGCATGTATACATTATTTATAGCATGTAATCAATTATACAGGTACGTCCCACATATTGGATTTGTATATGTGAAATAGAAACATATTCCAATTACATGGAGTTCACATCTCATCTCATAAAAAACAGCTCTCTAGAGAACACACACACACACACACACACACACACACACACACACACACACACACACAGTAAAAGCATGTTATGTTCTTCTTGGATGTTTGGAAAAGGGATTAAAAATAATTGCTTTCAACACTAGATGGTGCTCAGCATCAGAGTTTTTGAGTGGAAGCTGTTAATAAATTTTCATGACAGATTCCATGAAGAACATTTAATTAATATTCATTTAATTTTTTGGGGGGGATTCTGTATGCTCTCTGTGAATGGGAGATTATTTTAAAAATGCATACACAGATAAACATGCATACAATAAATGGGATATTTATTTATGGAACTCTTTTTCATTTTAGGAGTCCAACTGTTAATGTAAATCCTGACAGAGATGTGTCTTGATGCTTAGACAGTGTACATGCAATGAAGATCACAATCCCGTTTACAATTGTGCTTTTTTCTGCATTATGTAATCTATAGCTTTTAAAGACTCTGGAAACTTGAGCTGTGTGGGTGTGGTTTGATCAGGTCTGACTGACAGAGACCTGGCAACATAAGCA